CCCCCATGCTTTTAATGGGGGGGGGGCAAGGTTGGGGTGCAGGGCACGGAAGGGAACCATTTCAAAATATGCCAGAACACTCTATTCTTACAAAATTTGCCCTCTCAGGCGAAACTAGTTAGCCAGAATCTAACCTCTGGGGTTTTTTCAGAACATAACTAACCCCAGGAAAGGGAAATACCCAACTCCAAATACCCACTCCAATAGACTCCCATGGGAGAAAGGGCAATACCCCTTAGGTGGCAGGATTGTGGTAGAACCCCACCCTAATGAATGTTGTGAAAATCTCAAGACAAAGGAAGACAACCTGGCTGTGTGCACATGTGCGACGTTCCTCCCAATTCTGTAACCTAGACTGCCCATTCAGACTGTATGTTACCATATATGGGAGACAAAGGAGCAAAAAATGTACAAAAGGCAACCTCCCACTGCACTCGGGGCTCAGCCTTTTGGGTCTTAGCTCACTGAGCCCGTGCTGGCACGAATAAAGCTGCTTCATGGAAAGAAAAGCCTTGGTGTCCTGACTCTCTGTGTGACTCACTGCTACAGGATTTCTTGATTGCTGTGGCTTTATAGCAAGTTTTGAAATAGGTCACTGTCAGTTCAATGTTGTTTTCCTTCAGTGTTGTGTTGGCTATCCTGGGTCTTTCATCTCTTCATAAAAACTTTAAAAATAGTTTGTCAATATCCACCAAATAACTTGCCAGAACTTTGGCATTGCATTGGATCTCTAGATCAAATTGGGAAGAACTGACACCTTGGCAATGTTGAGTCTATCCATGAACAGGGAATCTCTCTCCATTTATTTAGTTCATTGATTTCTTTCATCGGAGTTTTATCATTTTCCTCAAAGATCATGTGCATATTCTACTTGATTTATACCATAGTATTTCATTTGGGGGAGTGCTACTTGTAAATGGTGTGGTGTGGTGTGTGTGTGGTGTGGTGTGTGTGTGTTTAAGTACACTTCACACCCAGTACAGAGCCCAACATGGGGCTTGAACTTACGACCCTGAGAGCAAGACCTGAGCTGAGATCAAGAGTCTGATGCTTAACTGACTGATCCACCCAGGGGCCCCTCTTTTCCTTTTTTTTTTAATTTTTATTTTATTTTATTTTTCAACGTTTATTTATTTTTGGGACAGAGAGAGACAGAGCATGAACAGGGGAGGGGCAGAGAGAGAGAGGGAGACACAGAATCGGAAACAGGCTCCAGGCTCTGAGCCATCAGCCCAGAGCCCGACGCGGGGCTTGAACTCACGGACTGCGAGATCGTGACCTGGCTGAAGTCGGACGCTTAACCGACTGCGCCACCCAGGCGCCCCATTCCTTTTTTTTTTTTAAATAGTGTTGTGTTTTTTATTTCAAATTCCACTTGTTCCTTGTTGGTATGTAAGAAAATGATTAATTGTATATTAATCTTGTATCCTGAAACACTGCCATAATCACTTATTGCAGGAGTTTTTGTTGTTTTGTTATAGATTCTTTCACATTTTCTATATACATGATCCTGTCATCTGAGGACAAAAACAGTTTTATTTCTTCCTTTTGAAGCTGTATACATTTTATTTCCTTTTCTTGCCTTATTACATTATCTAGACCTTCCAGTATAATATTGAAAAGCAATGGTAGGAGAAGATAAACTTGCCTAATTCCTTATCTTAGTGGGAAAGATTCAAGTTTCTCACCATTAAGTATGATGTTAGCGTTAGGGTTTTTTGTGGGGGTGGGGGGTGGGGTGTTTAAATCAACCTGAAGGAATCCCTCTCTAAAACTAATTTAGTAAGAGTTTTTATCACGAATGGGTATTGGATTTTGCCAAATACTTTTTCTGTATCGATATGATCACACGATTTTTCTTAGTTGGTTGATGTAATGGATTACATTAATTTTATTGTATTACATAGTTGATTTTTGTCTGTTGAGCCAGTCTTACCTACCTGGGATAAATGGCACTTGGTCATGCTATATAATTTTTATGCATTTTTGGATTTAATTTGCTAATATTTTGTTAAGGATTTTTGTGTAAGAGATATTGGTATATGTTCATGACAGACATTGGTCTGTAGTTTCCTTATAATGTCTTTATCTGGTTTTGGTTTTAGGGTAATGCCTGCCTCATAGAATGAGTTAGGATGTACCTCTCAGATTCTATCTTCTGAAAAAGATTGCGGAGAGTTGGTATAATTTCTTTTTTAAGTAGTTGGTGCTTTCTGTTTTGGAAGATTATTAATTATTGATTCACATTCTTTAATAAATGTAGGCTTCCCCTCCCCTCTCTTTTTAAGCAGTGCACTCTTCTTTTTTCCCCAAATAAAGTCTTTCTAAGTGGGCAGACAGGCTAGGGCAGAACTACCTGGGCTGAGATTGGGGGGAGGGCACCTAAAATTTTTTCTGGTCATCTTCCCTTTCCACCTTCTTTTTCATGACCCCCTCCCCTTAACTCGGATGACACCATAGAATCCTGTTGCTCTAAGGAACACAGCTGAGATACCACTGGTCTAAAGGTCAGCATAACTGAAAGGAGTGCACGATGCTCTGATTCCCACTCAAAGACCCTGACAGCTGTGGACAAGCCTGGAGACTCCCCTGCACCTCAGTTCTGTCCCCTAACTGGCACTCTCAAGCCCTGTCTCACAAGATGTGGTAAGGATAAGAGACTAAGATGGATGCAAAGGTCCATATATCTTTGGAAGAATTTTGGGACACAGTTATTTCAGGCTGAAAAGATCCAGGTTTTGTTTTGTTTTGTTTTGTTTTTAGTGTAGTGACTGTAGTAATCAGTTTATTACACAGATTAATCATTCTTTTTAAAAATTTGTTAATATTTATTTTCAAAAGAGCGAGAGAGACAGAGCATGAGCAGAGGAGGGGCAGAGAGAGAGAGAGAGGCAGACACAGAATCTGCAGCAGGCTCCAGGCTCCAAGCTCTGTCAGCACAGAGCCCACGGAGGGCTCAAACCCATGAACCGGGAGATCATGAACTGAGCTGAAGACAGACGCTTAACTGACTGAGCCACCCAGCCGCCCCAAGATTAATCATCCTTGAGCATACAAGCTCCAGGGGAGCAATTGGGTCTTTAAATATACGCAAGTATTTCCATCAAATGAATTTTCACTCTTACATCCACATAGACCTAAGCAGTTAAAAACACAAGAAAAGTAAGAGCTATTAGCTATGTATTAACTGAGAAACCACATACAAACTAAAGAATGTGGAAGACAGGAAGGGGATAAAAGGACAAAGGTTTAAGGGTGGGGAAGTGCAAAAGATGTGGGAACAAAGGCCATGACACTTTAGATGCTAATAGCTCCAATCCATCTGAATGTCGGCCAGTTAAACTTAGACCTTAAAATGCAGGATGTGAATGGATTTTAATCTGTTTGGTCATTACTTTCACCTAAGATGTGGGTCCTTCGAAATAAAATGAATACAGAAACAGCTTCATGTTCTTCACCTTGCTTGAGAAGATCCAGGTTTAATGCTTTAATGCACACTGCTGGTGGGAGTGGAAACTTGTGCAACACTGTGGAGAGCACTTTGGTAGTATGGGGTCAAGCTGAATCTGCAACTGACCCTCTGACCTGACGATGACACTTTATTTTATATATTTATTTACTTTAAGAGAGAGAGACAGAAAAGGGAAAGCACGAGTGGGGGAGGGGCAAAGAGGGAAAGAGTGAGTGAGTGAGAGAGAGAGAGAGAGAGAGAGAGAGAATCCCAAGCAGGCTCCATGCTGTCAGCACAGAGCCCAATGCGGGGCTTGAACCTCTGAACAGGGAGATCATGACCTGAGCCAAAGCTGGATGCTTAACCGACTGAGCCACCCAGGCACCTAAGTTTATAAGTACATATAGGTAATAAATTATAAAAACATGCACTAGAAGAGACACGTACATACCAAGTTCATAATAATGGGCAGGGGAGGTGTCCTAGGTAAGAGAACGCAGGGATTAGGGTTGCCACACACACACACACACACACACACACACACACACACACACACACACTTATATGAATCTGATAACTTTTCTCAACTTTGGTGACTACATCGTTATATTTATATAGTTCTTTGTATTTTCTACATGTAAAGTTTTTTTTAAAAAGTAAAATGCATTTATTTCCATCTTGCTAAAATCCACTTATCAAACAATTCTATAGACCTTACTATGTATGGCTTTGCAAATATTAATACTTCAAACCTCATAATAATCTGAAGAGGTGCTATTTTAAAAGGGAGGAAAGGGATGCACAGAGAGGGCAAGCTACTCACCTAGGATAAAACAGGGAGTGACAGAGCTGGGCTTCAGATCCAGGTAGCTGGGCACCACTGTGCATGCTCTCAAGGACCCTCCACCTGTTAATCTGTGACCCGCAGTCCCTCATTAGGGTCCCCTGTGTCCTCCCCATACTGCCCATTGACTTGTCTTTCCTTACTTTGTTTTAAGCTGTATATGAGATCTGTATTCACACCTCTCTCATTACTCCAGCCCAGTCCCTGGCCCATCACAAATAAACAGCAAATGTTGTTGATCAAATGAATGGATGAATGAGTTGCCTGAGGTTCCTGGAAGCATCTCCATGCAAATGCCATGCGCAGGGCCATTGTCTTTGAGTCCTCCACTGCGTTTGATGCCATCCAGGGTGCTGGCACTGGGCATTATAGGAAATGAGCCCATTAGTAGAAAAATTGAAAAAAAGAAATTAAAACAATATGGGATTTTTATTCTTAGGGGGTCACCTTACTCTCTCTGCCTGTGGGTGTTTTGTTCAGAGAAAATTGTAGAATTTTAGGAAACAGCTGGGTCTCCTCACAAATCCATCTTTTTTCTCCAAATATTCCCACTCACTTCTGGTTTCAGTTTAAATGTCTTTTCTTCTGAGAAGCCTTCTCTGGCTACCCTGTTCCCTCTTTGCTGGTGTTCTGTGTCATATTACCCTTCTCTGTATCAAACTTACTGCAACTTATATATATTTTTTGTGAATTCATTCTTTCCAGTGTCTCTGTGCCCCGGGAGACTGAAAACTCCGAGAGGTCAAAGATCACTCTTGTTTTGTGCACGCCTTGTCTCCAGTACCTGGCACAATGCTCTCTACACAGTAAGTGCTCATTTATCATCATTGAATGAACGCTGTTGTCAATTGCAGTGGCTTAACTGAAAGATGTGCTATAGGGGTTTCAAAATTTTTTTTCAGAATGCTTTATACTAAGCGAAATTGTTCAGAATTTCTTCTATAAGCCAGCTCATTACCCTGATTCGATTGAGGGCTGATGAGGAACATGGGCTTGTCCCACCTTCTCCTTGACGCCCCCAACAGGATCCCTGAGGGACCTCACAGACTGCCCCTTGGCCAGCTTTTCTGAGCTCCCCACTCCTTGCAACTGCCAGACGGGTCTTGTCACCAAGGGAGCCCCTCTTTGAAGATTGAAACACAGATGACCCAGCCTCTCCTCCCAGCTCCTTCCTCAGCGTCGTGGGGCACTTTGCTAATAGAGCCATAAATTCCCCCTCTAAATGAGCATCCTGATTTGATTTGCTCTTCAGATGACCCCTTCCTGGGGAAAATATTATGCTTTCCCTGAGTTATGGCAGAGACTCCAGTGGGTAGCTGTGTTGTGTCCTGCCTCTGCCATCTGATAGTCTGATTCCTCTCCAATTTATGAGCTTGTTAGTTCCCCAGCCAGCTCCTACCTCATTGCGGCTGACCCAGTAATGCTGTTTGCCTGTGTCATCTTGCTCAGACAAACACAGGCGTCCCCACTGAGGAGACAGACGCCCTAGCCCGGTCACCTCATTGACTGATGCTGGCTGACTCCATCGACCTGGAGCAGGAAGGACAGAGTATCAGGTTGTAGGACAGGCACAACTCCTACAGGCACTGAAGCTCTCGTTGTTGGCTTGAGCATGGCAGGGGTGGCCAATTTTCTTGTTTCTAAATGCTTCCTTGCAGGGAATCCTTGTGGTAACTTCTATTTTTCAAAGGCATGGGCCACTGCCTGCCCTTAGCCCCTTCTTCCTGCTGGGGTTCACGACTCCCTAAGTTCTCCTTCTGGAATGCGTGCTCATACATTCCATCGCCGGTCTGGGGCAATTCCCGTGCTTTGACTCTGACTCTAGGAGTGGCAAGAAATAGAACTGGGCATCCTTTTTATGCGCCTCCATTTCCTGGCCTCTGCAATGGGAACAATAGTAGATCTCAGACCATTTCTCATCTTGTTATCTTGGGCAGAAAAAGAAACACACACACACCCATACCACCCACATAGACATTTTGCATGTCATGTCAAGGAGTTGATGGTAGCTATGGAGTCTCCCCACTAGCCCCAAGTTAACATTTCACGGGCTAGACAAAAATTGGAAACCTAAATGTCCATTGGTTGGTAACTGGAAAGGCAAAATGTGATGTATCCATATGGTGGAATCCTAGTCAACAATAAAAAGAGACAATCTACAGATACATGGATGAACCGCAAAAATACTATGCTCAGGGGGTGCCTGGGTGGCTCAGCTGGTTATGTGCCAGACTCTTGATTTCAGATCAGGTCAAGAGCTGAGTTTATGAGTTCTATCTCTGCGTTGGGCTCTGCGCTAACAGTGTGGAGACTGCTTGGGATTCTCTCTCCCTCTCTGCCCCTCCCCCACTTGCACACACATGCATATGTTCTCTCTCTCTCTCTAAATAAACATTAAAAAAGCACATGCTCAGGGAAAGAGGCTGGATACAAGAGACCACATATTGTATGGTCCATTTATATGAAATATTCAGAAAAGGCAAAGCTATATGAACAGAAGATAGATTAGAGGTTGCCTGGGGATGGGGATGGGGGATGGGGATGGGGGATGGGGACGGGAAGTAACAGCAAATGTGCACGAGGGATCGTGTTGAGGGGATGAAATGTTTTAAAACCGATTTATGGCGATGGCTGCATAAGTTGGTTTAAAAAAACATGTATATGTCTCTCACGGGGCTCTGGGGGGGCTACACAAGATGCAGGCAGGGAAGGATTTAGCAGTGAAGGGTCCTGAGGTCTATAAGTTCTTTCAAGTGGTTCAGCCTTTGTCCACGACATTGTCAGTATCTATGCCTGTATTTAAATCTGTATCCATTTCCCAGGGCTGCTACAGCAAATGGCCACCAACTGGGTGGCTTGAAACAACAGAAATCTGGGGCGCCTGGGTGGCGCAGTCGGTTAAGCGTCCGACTTCAGCCAGGTCACGATCTCGCGGTCCGTGAGTTCGAGCCCCGCATCAGGCGCTGGGCTGATGGCTCAGAGCCTGGAGCCTGTTTCTGATTCTGTGTCTCCCTCTCTCTCTGCTCCTCCCCCGTTCATGCTCTGTCTCTCTCTGTCCCAAAAATAAATAAACGTTGAAAAAAAAATTAAAAAAAAAAAAAAAAAAGAAAAAGAAACAACAGAAATCTATTCTCTCAGTTATGGAGGCCAGAAGTCCCAAATCAAGATGTGGGCAGGGCCACTCCTGGTCTGAGGCTCTCTAGGAGAGTCCTTCCTTGCCTCTTCCATTTCCCATATTCCCGGCTTTCCTCGGCTTATCACCCAGATCTCTGCTTCCATTTTCACACTGTTTCTCCTCTTCTGTCTGCATGTCTCTTATGAGGACACTTGTCATTGGACTTAGGGTCTCAATTACCCAGGTTGATCACCTTAGCTTGCGTTCCTGAATTAAGGGGCACCGGGGTGGCTCAGTCACTTAGGCATCCGACTTCAGATCAGGTCATGATCTCTCTGTGAGTTCGAGCCCGCATTGGAGTCTCTACTGTCAGTGCGGAGCCTGCTTGGGATCTTCTGTCCTACACCTCTCTCTACCCCTCCCCTCCTTGTGAGCCCTCTCTCTGTCTCTCTCAAAAATAAATATTAAAAAATAAAGATCCTGAATTTAATCTGCAAAGACTTCTTTTTTTTCTTACTTTTTTATTTATGTACTTATTTTTAATTTAATTTATTTTTAAATGCACATCCACGTTAGTTAGTATATAGTGCAACAATGACTTCAGGAGTTGATTCCTTAATGCCCCTTACCCATTTAGCCCATCCCACCTCCCACACCCCCTCCAGTAACCCTCGTTTGTTCTCCATATTTATAAGTCTCTTCTGTTTTGTCCCCCTCCCTGTTTTTATGTTGTTTTTGCTTCCCTTCCCTTAAGTTCATCTGTTTTGTATCTTAAATTTGTCATATGAAGTCATAAGATATTTGTCTTTCTCTGACTAATTTCGCTAGCATAATACCCTCCAGTTCTATCCATGTAGTTGCAAATGGCAAGATTTCATTCTTTTTGATTGCCGAGTAATACTCCATTGCACATATATACCACATCTTCTTTATCCATTCATCCATCGATGGACATTTGGGCTCTTTCCATACTTTGGCTATTGTTGATAGTGCCACTGTAAACATTGGGGTACATGTCCCCCTTCGATATACCACACCTGTGTTCCTTGGATAAATACCTAGTAGTGCCATTGCTGGGGTAGGGTAGTTCTAGTTTTAATTTTTCGAGGAACCTCCACACTGCTTTCCAGAGTGTCTACACCAGTTTGCATTCCCACCAGCAGTGCCAAAGAGATCCTCTTTCTCTGCATCCTTGCCAACATCTGTTGTTGCCTGAAATGTTAATGTTAGCCATTCTGACGGGTGTGAGGTGGTATCTCATTGTGGTTTTGATTTGTATTACCCTGATGCTGAGTAATGTTGAGCATTCTTTCATGTTTCTGTTAGCCATCTGGATGTCTTCTTTGGATAAGTGTCTATTCATGTCTTTTGCCCATTTCTTCACTGGATAATTCATTTTTTGGGGTGTTGAGTTTGATAAGTTCTTTATAGATTTTGGATACTAGCCCTTTATCTGATACGTCATTTGCAAATATCTTTTCCTTTTCTGCCGGTTGCCTTTTAGTTTTGCTGATTGTTTCCTTTGCTGTGCAGAAGCTTTTTACTTTGACGAGGTCCCAGTAGTTCACTTTTGCTTTTATTTCCCTTGCCTCCAGAGACATGTTGAGTAAGAAGTTGCTGTGGCCAAGATCAAAGAGGTTTTTGTCTGCTTTCTCCTCGAGGATTTTGATGGCTTCCTGTCTTACATTTAGGTCTTTCATCCATGTTGAGTTTATTTTTGTGTCTGGTGTAAGAAGGTGGTCCAGGTTCATTCTTGTGCATGTCGCTGTCCAGTTTTCCCAGCACCACTTGCTGAAGAGACTGTCTTTATTCCATTGGATATTCTTTCCTGCTTTGTCAAAAATTAGTTGGCCAAGACTTCTTTTCTAGATGAGGTAACATTCACAGGTTGAAGGGATTTGATATGGATATATTTTTAGGAGGAGACCACCATCGTATCTATCTGCATCATCTATATCTGTACATGTATCATCGATATATCTGTATCATTAGATCTTTATACATCTCTATCTATATACAATCTATAAATTGACAAAAAAACAAGTATGTCAAAATGTGAGGAGTTGCTGATCTCTGTTGCAGGTACATAGGTGCTCCTTGTACAGGCATACAGCTCTAAAAATGCTGTGTTTTTTATTTCAAATGTTTCTAGATTTTGGAAAGGCATTCAAGTGCAACTGTATGTTGTATCACACCTTTAACAAAAGTCTGGAGAGTACTCCATAATATAACGTATTAATATGCCTGCAACAATATGTTTGAATATTCACACTAAGTGGGTTAAATCGAGACACCATTTCATGCTTACTCAGGTCAGCTTTCCTACCAAATGAGTTTTAGCACCCGATGCATGATAAACTTCTGGACTTCAGAGATCTTTGAATTTGAAAATTATGGAGAAGAGAGTGGGTACCTGTGTTATTCTTTCTCCTTTTTTGTATGTTTGAACATTTTTGTAATGAAACATTTTGAAAAATAAGCCCGTGCATGTAACGTGCTTTGCTGAGTGCCTGGCACATAGTAAGAACTCCAAAAAATATGACAGTTACAATTAATTTCACAAGGATTATTCTATTAGACGTGTTACAAGTCAGGCAGTTAGGAACTATTCAAGGTTTTGATGTGAGGGAATGACATGGCCAGGGGACAGAGAATCTAGAAAGATCCCTGTGGCATGACATGACAGGGATG